GGCGTGTCTTAGCAAATCCACATCTTTTACATTGGCCATTCACGATGGTAAATTGACAGCTGTCAAAACAAGATAGCCACTGACCAGTATCACATTGCCATATCGGGGGCTCATGTGTCAACTCATCAAGGTGACGTGGGTTATTTGGAAGCTGTCCGCTGACCAGTTGTTTTACTAGATCGCGATCAATGTTCAATCTCATACTTCTAGCTAGTTTGAGAGCACAGAAAAACTGATAATGCACACATCCATTTATCAAGGTTTTGATCAATTGACAGCTGTCAAAACAGGGTATCCGCTGACCAGTATCACTTGACCGTATCGCGGGCTCAGGTGTTAACCCATCGAGGTGAAGTATTTTTTGGAAGTTATCCGCTGACAAGTTACTAGTTTTCAAATGATCGCAGGCTCGAGTTTGATTTTTTTTCATTCATATGAAATATGTTTTGTTTTTGGGCCGCACAATTAAAATTTTGATTTAAAACTGACCTCGGACCCGAAAATTCAGCAGCTATTACAGGCAAGACAGTTGCTTTTGACTTTGCTCACCATGGTCACGCGTTGGTCACGCTGTACGTCCACTTTTAAAGCTCTGATTGGTCAAAATTTGACAGGTGAGCTCATGCGGAAAATTTATGCAGCATCTTGAATCTTGTTTACTTTGACAGCTGAAGCTGAGAGAGCTTTGTGTCAACTTGTGATGTTTTTAACTGTCTTTTTCCACTGGATGCACAAAATGAAATTTACCTGCTATCAGGAGCCTTCTGTTATTCATGGCTAGTTGGTTTTTGGTTGAGAAATTAATACATCACTTGCCAAAGTCGGGAATCCGATTTCGGGTGTCAACGTTTTTGTTTTTCACCTTGCTTGATGCGTAAAGGCTGAAAACTCTGAAGCGATACTGGCCTTCCTTGATACCTTTGAGGAGCTGCATCTCGAATGGTAAACCCCAGTAATTATTGTGTTTGATGTTTGTTTTTTATATCTAATTTAAAGAAGTCGAGCGTAGTTTATGCGGCTATGTAGTTTATGCACGTTTGTAAGATTTGAGACAATTTGATCTGACCACGAATCAGGTAAACTTGATATAAGTTTACACAACTTTAAAAAGTCTTTAGACATTTTCTCACCGCAGATAGAAAGAAAACGTTCCAAAGAACATGTAGTTATAATTCTGGCAGTAAAAGAAAGCTTTGAGCGATTTTCTTGCCTCGAGTTCATCTGTGAAAAAAGTAAATACCGGGAAGCCGGCTTAAAACATAAACTTAAGCTTTAAGCTTGAAGACTCAGGATTTTTAGAGACACTTTAATATTTGTCTTCGTGAATGAAAAATGTTGTCTCTGTATATGTTTCGCCGAATTATATTTCCTTTATTGATTGTTGGTAGTCTCTCTTGTAATTTTAATCGCTGTGCCGTTTGTTTTCAGTCGTTCAGTGAACATCGCTTGCAGGAGTACTCAAAATGCCGCGCGTATCAAACGCTTTTAAAGATTACAGATCGATAAAACCATTAAATAAAAAATAAACATAACAATTTCTTTATTGTGTTGGAGCTTAACTCTAGTATGTTCGTTCAAACATTCGCTACAGCTCGCACTGCAAAAGTGAGAACCGGCTGGCTGTATATGTGATTTTGGACATTTTTTTAACGGTTTAGCTAAAAGCCCGCGCGTGCTTCGATCGTCCTGAATATTGAATGAGTGCAATTTCTCTTGCAATTTGTGAAATACTGAATTCTGTCCGAGGTTTGTATGATAAAAACAGTACCTCATAGTACTGTTTCACCTCAGATGTGATGTATAAATGGTATAAAAGGGTTGTTTACACGCCGCCAGATTTGTTGGCAAGATTTTGTAAAGTAAACTTGTCGAACGCAAAAAAATTCAACCTGATTTTTTTTCCAGGCCTAATTAATCTTACGGTGATCAAGAGCCATTATGGCTCTTAAATGTGATCGAAGATGATTGCTATTTTTTGGGTGTACATATGAGGTTATCAACTCGATGTAAGATTTTGTTCACTCTTGGGCTGTTTGCAAATTATTTTTCTCTAAAATCACTTAGCCTTTTCCTCAAAAGTCACATGAATGTGCTATGTGCTCTAAAGTTAACTGAATTGTGGAATGGAAGTTTATTGTTTGATTTAAATTATAAATATATAATGGGAGCCTCGCTTTTAGCCCTGGCTAAATCTATATATTAGAGATTTCATGAATGTCGGCCTTCCACGAGAGATTTTCATCAATGATAAGCCCGAGAGATTTGCTTTGATTGCTTTGGTTTATTGGGACGCCGTCTATATGAATATTCATTGTGTAGTCAGTTAAGGACTGTAGTTTGTGCCTCGAGCTAATAACCATAAACTCTGTTTTAACTTATTAGCTTTGAGCCAGCGATCAATATATTTCAGGTCACTATTGATTTGGGACTCAAGATCAGGTATAATAGCTGCAGAAAAGGTAACATTAGTAGTTTCTGTTGTTTATTTGAGCAAAAGCATTTGCGTTGGTTAGTCTATAAATGGTTCAGTCGTGTAGGTACTTTGGATTGAATTTTTCTGGAATCAGGGGTGTAGTAATTTGAGCGGCATATCCAAATTGTACCGACGGGAGCCGCAATTAGAACAATAGCGCCATTTAAAGGAGCAAAATAAGTCGCGTCTCGTTCTTGACCTTTCGTGTGTTAAAAAAAATTAAAAAGCTTTAAAAATGATAAACAAGGCAAGCAAGGTTAACCGTGCAGTATAGAGCCTCTTATTAGGCGATCCTTTTGATGCGTATTGTTTTTGAATGAGTCAATTCAGGTCAATTCATACTGGTCTATAAAATAATGAACAAGAGGCATGTTTCAAGTTATTTTCTGTTCAGCAATGCAAGCATTCACGTATGCCACTAAGAAAAATCTGAGAGCCTGCCCCTGGTATGGCTCATAGCACTTAAAAAACTTCCAACTTCTTTCGGAATTGTCAAGGCTGTGTTCACACTCTATAAGATAGCTTTTGCGTCGGCACAAAAACCACACCGTGTCGGAGATCGGTTCACACATAAAAACAGTCAGATTTCGACGCGATTTTTGTAACAGAGCAAAGCTGCACTGCACTGCACTGCACCTATCTCAAAATAGAATCACATATTGGACAGGTGTTCAAACTACATCGAATAGCTTTTCGTGTCGGCGCGAAAAGCTATTCTATATAGTGTGAACATAGCCCAAGATATTATGACAAGGGGTGGGGGGCGCGGGTCCTTTCACTATACACTTGCCAAAGATGATTGTTTTTCATAGATTCCACTGTTCTTCTCAGTAGATAAGTAAATTTCTTGCATATCTTCTTTTGAGATAAGAGATAAGTTAAAGCTACATAATTTCAGATTGCAGTGTTCTTCAAGCTTGCTCAAATTTTGCCAGAAAGGAGTTTTGTTGACCATGCTAGAGATTCATAGAAAATGGATCGTAAATGGAGGCAGATTTAGGTTTTGTTCCATTTGTCCAGTTCTTGTCTGCCGTTTCTTTGTCTTAGGGAAACACACATCACATGGACTATAAACATAGAATGAAAATTGTTTTTATTTGCCACTATTTTTTTCTAACACACCTAAAATTCCGCGAGTGATACATTATCTTTTTGACCCCTGTTTTGACTGAGTGTTTATATGAGGGCTTATTAAAAAACGGAATATACTTTGACCTCCGTCGTGTCATAGTCAGTTTGAAATCAGACCAAACTCGCGGACACGGCACGGAAAGTTACAGAAGATAAATCGCATCTGAATCATAGACTAACCAGTTCAATGGAGTCAAGAAGGTTAAAAAATGGTGCTTGGAACGTCACTGTTTTTCACAAGATTTTATATATTTCCTGCTTTCTTGCTACAGTTATTCCAGGTATGCTACCCTCATATTTCTATCATATGTTGAAGATGATGTGGCCTTAAATTTAATTTGCAAATTGAATTACGCGAATTGGGCAACTTCTTTTCAGCCGCACCACATAACTTTTGAAAAGGATGTCGTCCTTCATTCCAAACCTCGATAATATTCGAATTTGAAAAGACGTCAGTTGAAATTCACTTATATTCACAATAATCAGCGCCACCAAGATGTCATTAATTACAATTTAATCAGTGCGACGGTGCGATGAGTGAATGGGGAGGACTGCTAAGGCGGGTGGGAGCGCAAGAGAATAGGAGTGGGAGGGGTGGTACGGGAGGCAAGAGAAAAAGGAGCAAGGGACGGGAGTACTAAACGAGCGGGAAGTGGGAAAATTACTAGGGGGAGACCACGTAACAACAGTGCCTAATAGTTCACAATCGAAGAAGCGCTAAAGGGAGAAACCAAGAAAAAAGGGGCGGGATACGGGAATGCAAGGTACAGGAGGCTAGAGGTCCGGACCCCCTGCCCCCCAACCCCTCTACGTAAGTTGCCGTAAACCTATACCCCCACTTTAAGTATTAAAAACTTAAGACCCTCTCTCTTATATACCCCCTCATCTTTCATGCCAACTTTAACTCTTCCTCAACCATGTAAACCAATAATCGAAAGACTGTTTACGTGCACCGACGATAGTACGAGTGATTTCACTCAAATCTCCATATCAGATGGTCACTCATAACCCCTGATCCAAAACGGTAATTAGAATACTATATAACTCCCGTATTGTTTGTTTGTTTTTGTTGTTTGTTTTGTTTTCCTTTCTTCTTCCCTTTGCTATCACTGCAAGTGGCTTCGCATTTCCAGCTAATTTACGCCCCCGGCGAGTGAGGCGGCCTGGCCTCCCGCTAAACAGTCCTGTCGCCGGTACCGAAAAAACAAACTGAAAAACCGGCCAATTTGGCCTCGGTATAATGTGTTCGAAATTCGATATCTGTCACTAGCAGCCCCTTCTTCGAAAACTTCGTATTTATATTGAACTTGTTAAAAAAACAATACCATTTTCCTTACATACAGGTACACAGGCTTTGAAATTCCTCAATCGACCGGCTCCCCCCGTCTTGTCAGCTCACGCTGGCACCCATGTTGACTTCAACTGCTCGACAGATGAGCCAAATGCTACAGTGAAGCTTCTGTTTACACATGATTTTGGTTCAACTTGGAGAGTTAAAACTCTTGCGCCAGACAGACTTGTTTTAAAGGAGCAGGTTTTTACCTTAATGAACGTCGTTCTTAGAGATGGCGGTAGCTACGCTTGCAACGCGACAGATCAGTCAGGTCAAACCATCCAATGGCCAAATAGTCGTGGAATAATCTTATACGTAAGATCAGGTGTGTTTATTTTGCTTTGTTAAAGGGGCTATGTCATGAGTTGTTGTCTTGGGTAAATTCTTTGCTTAAAAAAGTCATTACAGTTGAACCCAGTTAATACGGTCACCAATGGTCCAAATTTAAAAAATTTGGCCGTAATAACGAGGTGGCCGTAAGGAGGGGTTACACTGTACTTAATGCCCTTACTCATAGACAAAATGCTCCTATAGAGTTTTAAAAAAGATAGTATCCGACCAATCTCATCAGGGAGCACTAACCATGGTAATTTTTAAATTTTTGGTGATTTTTGGAGGCATGGTATTAAAACTTGATACCGTTGGCCTAATTTTTTCAAGTTCAATGCCTGATCGGCCGCGTAAAAACAAACGAGAGGAAATTAACAGTTTCTTCAACGCCTAAATATATAGAGGCACCCAACAAGAGTATAGTTCAAAACCACTTAAACATGGCATTGTTAAACGTATTTTAGTATTTAAATGGTAGATAAAGGAATATTTTTATCCCCTAAAAATTTTTCGTGATCTGTTCGGATTTCCTAGCTGAAAGTCTAGTGATCTGAAAATTATGGGGATCAAGACTTACCTTTCCGAAAATTTCAGGCAGAAACAAGGCTCCCGAAAATTTTAGGGTCGTTAAAAATGTTCAATTATACCATTTTTTAGATGTTCGAAAATCCTAGGAGAGGCAGGCAGGCAAGAAATTTTACAACAAATGTTACAAAAATTCTAGATCTCAAATCGTCTTCCGAACAGATGTTTTCCGAAAATTGACGTTGGGTGCCCCTGAATTAATTACATAGTCTGAGTTGCAAAATTTTAAAAACTGGACCATTTTTGTTTTGGTATTTAATTGATTGATCAGTTTTATCTTTTCAAAGACAGCGAATCGTGTGACGTAGACCCCCACTTTATAGACAAGCAACGTGACTGAGTATAGCTGTTAGAAAGTTCGTGCGCATATATCATTGTTTATTTTGACTTGTACCGGTGACAGTATGCGCCAAATGAACGGTTTCCGCAAGAGTTGTGTGATACCCGGGGGATACTCAACAATGTTTTATTCGGGGAGGCTCCGTCCCGAGGTCTGCCCCCTTACCCACCGCCGTATACGCACCCTTTTTGCCGTACTGAAGAATATATCACAAAACCAGAACGTTTTCTCGACTTTTTCACAGACATAAAATGCGTGTTAACCCTTTAAAGCCTTGTATAGACGAAAACAACATATCTCCCCACGCTTTCATCCACCTCAACTAATTAAATCCCTACCTTTTTCCATCCTTGAAGCATGAAAACGGTAACCCTGTTCGGGCGGAACCTCCCCATATAGGACATTGTGGTAAGGACCTCTCTTCAGGGGAACCCAACGTCTGAATTTTTGGAAAATATCTGTTCGGAAGACGATTTGAGATCTAGAATTTTCGGAACATTTGTTGTAAAATTTCTTGCTTGCCTGCCTCTTCTAGGATTTTCGAACATATTAAAAATGGTATAATTGTCCAGTTTTAACGGATTTTTACCCTGAAAAGGTCACCTAGAATTTTCCGGAGACTTTTTCAAACTGATTTTTTCGAAAAGGTAAGTTTTTTGATCCCTATAATTTTCGGATCACTAGACTTGCAGCTAGGAAATCCGAACAGATTAAAAATTCTTAGGGGACGAAAATATGCCTATATCTACCCTTTAAATACTAAAATACGTTCAACAATGCTATGTTTAAGTGGTTTTGAGCTATATTCTCGTTGGGTGCCCTTGTCTCTTCCGGGCGGGGTTGTGTTATAAAAATAGGTGCAGGTATTTATATATATTTTATAACATTTTAAATATATTGTCCAATTTTGTTTCTGTTTGGTTGTTGTTGTTGTTTTTTTCATTCTATGAGGTTTTTTGTGCTTTATCAAAAGTTTTATTCATTTATTTATTTTTCATACATGTTCTTGCGAGGAGTATGAAAAATAATATCTTTCATTTTCTCCTCAGTTGAACTGCCAAAACATTTTGTGTTGATTCCGAAAAAATCTATCACTCTGTTTCGAGGGCAGGATAGCAGAGTAACTTGTGAATGTGATGGTGCTGCAGATGCCACTCTAAAGTGGGAAAAGAAAGGGAATAAAGGATCATATTCGGTTGTCCCGGAAAGTAAAGTCACCATCATTAAAGATCTGATAACCAACAGAGTGCAGGCTATTCTGAAGATTGTTAATGCCCAATTAACAGACTCTGGTTCATACAAATGCACCGTAATGGTAGAACCTGATAAATCAGATTATAGGTTGACAACTGTGAGAGTTATAGGTAGGTTTGTCAGGCAGGGTTTTTACACATTGACAGGAGCCCATAATGGTTATGGGCTCCTGACATTGAATGATAACTGGGCTTTTAACCAAGTGGACGGGGAAGGGGGGAGGAAATTGAACAAAATTTTTTACTGCCAGGCATTGGTTTCCTAAATACGAGAATGCGCCGTCCTGAAGTGAAACCCCTTACCCAAATTCTGCTGTTTTTACAGCTACCATTTTGACAAAAAAGGTATAGCCCTTTCGACCATCCATTGAGAAAGCATCATCCCTTTCCTAAACCCTTGGAATAAAGCTAATGAATGATGTTAAGGGAGAACAGCCACACGTACAGCACTCTCGATGTTTGAGTTATGATCCCTCACTGGAACCACCCGCGGCAATTAAAATAAAATCTCTTTGACCGTCCTTTGCCAAACTTGATGTTGTAATAACATTTTGATTTTATTTCATCGTTATTTATTGGCATAGCTTAGTAAATCCCTAAAATAATAGGGCGAGGATCTGAAAAATATGGGTAAAAATTTCTTCGGCGAAATCCTGTTCGATAATGATAAAATACTTATCGTAAGATCAACGTGTTTTCGTTTTCCACGGCAGCTAAGTTGGCAGACCACTTCAGGCTGAGACCAAGCAGATCAGTAACTGTGCTACAAGGCAAGGAGGTAAAAGTCAAATGTGAATCAAAGGGTGTTTCAGTCACCAAGCTACAGTGGAATAAACAAACAATTACAGGGGATGTGCCTGTTCCAGACAACATGGTCACTTTTGTTAGAGATAGATACACCAACGCCATGAAGGCTATCCTCAAGATCGCGCATGCTAAAATTGAAGATGCTGGTCTGTACAAGTGCGTGTTGACGGCTTTTGGCAAGACTGACTTCAAGCGGATCAAGATAACAGTGAAAGGTTAGTACAAACAAACAAACAAACAAACAAACGAACAAACAAACAAGCAAGCAAAAGAGAGACACCGGCTACTGATAAAAACCCTTTCGGGTCAGGCGTGATACCAGAAATACAGCGCTGAAAATACCCAACGGAAGTTGTGGCTGAAGTTAGCAATGTGTTCCTGAGGGCATTCAGAGATTCGGTAACGAGGCTATTTCTGAATGTAGTCCGACTGATACATGAATCGGATCAGAGCCAACGTAATGACTGCCCCCGTGTGGACCGGCACAGCGTCCACGCGTACAAGTTATCGAACGTCTGTCACTGTTGACACACCTCTGGGGGGGGGGAGGGGAGTTGGACTATACTGTAAATATACTTTAAATAGGCTACCATTAATATAGCGGAGCTTCACGCAAGCGCGAGCGGAGCCCCATACCTGAGAAAATTTGGTAATTCATCCATCCGAGAAATTTTTGTAATCACGTGACCCGTGCGCCCGTCTGACCGTCCGTCCGCATTACAGGCATACCAATGTGAAATAACTCGAGGTGTTTTGGGCGGGAAATCGCATGGCCACCCGGCGGACTTTTAGAGAGAAAAAACAATAACAAAGTCGAGTCTTTTTCGACGTTATTGTTGATAAATTGACATTTAAACTATAAAAGACCTGACCAGCAAAAAAACACTGAGTAGACACACTGAATTCTGAAAAGCTGATCGTACTGAGTGAAAATTAACTTTACTAATTTTCACGTAGTACGATCAGCTTTGCAGAATCCATTGCGTCTACTCGGCGTTTTTTTGCTGGTCAGGTCTTTTTTGGATCCTACGTTTTGCGGTATATTCGTTTGCGGTCCTTTGCAGTTTAAATGTCAATTTATTACTTATTTTTTGCGGCCGTAGGTCTTTTATAGATCCGATATGCTGTTCATTTTTGCATGTTATTTTTTATGTCTACTCTCACGAGGATGTTGGATAAAGGGTTAGAGTAGTGATTAAAAAAATTATGGAAATGAAAATTGTTCGAAAAAAAAAATGAAAATTTCATAGCGGAGGTGCGAAAAATGAGAAATGCTAGAGGCCCGCAAGGTGAAAATGAGCGGCAGTGAAAAAATAAAAGCAAACAGGAACACAAGAACATGTGTGACTAGGAAGTCACACGTTTTAATCGCGCAAAACAACGGCAAAGAAATGTGCAAAATGTTTGCTGCACGTGCAAATTTATTGTTAATTTTTTTTGCCAATGAGATCTATTGATTTTATTGCCGTCCTCATTGCCGTTGCCGTTTAGCCCATTTACACGATAATTATTAATTGTTTATAAGTATCTAGGGTGTGAGCTTCGCTTTTAGCCCTGGCTAAATCTATATGTTAGTTAGAGTTTACGTTCAAGAAAATTAAACTCATAAAACTTCACACTGCTGGAACTCACAAGCGAAGGATAACTGTATTTGTGAATAAAAGCACGTTTAGTTAAAATAGTAAATGTTTATGAATAACTTAACTACCGATTGGAAGAGGCAAATAGGCACGGTGAGATTGTGTTATTACAAGTGTGAACACCTACTGAACTGAGATGGCTAAAAACTTCAGCGATTACGCAAGCAAAAACGCTTGTATGAAGCAAAATGTGACTTTGCAATCACCACAATTCTCGCAACGCCCTATTTATATGTTAGCCAAGGATCCAGCCAAAATTTCCATGTTCCACTGTCTTCGCGGTTCGCTCCGCGGCGAAATAGCCCCAATCCTAAAGTTCCAACAACGCTTTGGGTCGAAACCCACAAACTTTGAGCGAGGTTCGTGATACACCAATCACTAAAAGCCACTGTGGTTACAAATAGTACTAACAGTTCTACTCAGTAAATCGATACCATTGCCTGACGAACACCTGTAGTACGCAGTCGAAACGTCGCGAGCGATACTGTCTATGCGACAATCGTGAGACAAACGATTGATGGCGTTTTAAAGTAACTTAGCAAAAACGTCGTGTGGACCCCTTGGCTTTGTAGCTGAAAGTAATTCCCAAAATTTGGCTTTTGGTAACTTAAAGAAATTTGTACTGCAATGATGTAATGGGTTAAGCCATCAGGAGTATAGAGTAAACGGCTGACCTTAACAACCCGGTTGGGAAAACATTTCTGATCCGTTCCGGTTGTTAATCTTTCCCAGTACTCGGAAAGTACTTGCCTAACGATTTACCGGTCGAAAAGGCAATTATTTTTATTACTATTTTTTTCTGAAAGCGCAAAGTCTAGTCTTTTGCATGACGAAGGTATTACTTTTATTTCTCTTAAAAGACCGTGAATATTGGTCCGGCCCTGGGGTAACATCGAAAGCGATAAGTAACAATAAATAAACGTTTACTTTAATTTTCTATTTCACCAGAACTTCTGCTAAAAGAAGTCTTACCCGACTTGGGGAGCTTAAGCAACGACGACGGCGACGTCAACAAGAACGGCAAAAAAGCAATTGGTTTAGATTGGCAAACAACAACTTTGCACGTGCATCACGCTTTTTTGTACATTTCTTTGCCGTCACTGCACTACTACGACATGAAAATGGCTATTTTCAGGTTTCGTGACGTACGTGGACGCAAGACCACGACTTTCTCTTTCCTCTCCTGAACTTCGATACAGTCTTTAAGAATTGAACTCCAGAAAATAATTGCCAACATTTGTGAACGAGATGGAATAAGTGAAATAAAGTTAGAAGCAGCGCGACTTCACTTTTAGAGTAACGTTTTCGTAGCCGTCGCCGTCTTTGTTGCTTAAGCTCCCTCTTATATAAAGTCGCTTACGAGCCCATTCTCGTTCCCGGCTCTGGTTACGACTACTTTTATGGACTCTCCAGGGGCACCCAACGAGGATATAGTTCAAAATAGACTGCAAAACAGTCCGTATTTTTGCGTATTCAAGTACGCGCCAGCAGTCAACAAAAGGTCTGGAATGAGGCTGAAAACAGAGAGCGAGACTGGGGAGAGACGTTTTTTTTCTCTCTCGCCCGTAAGGCTTGTGAGGCTCGCGCCCTTCGCGCGCGTAAGACTCTTACGCCACGCTTTACCGATTTCTTTACTGATTTTGAGAAAAAAACCGACTGTTTTGCAGTCTAAGTTCAAAACCACTTAACATAGCATTGTTGAACGTATTTTAGTATTTAAACAGTAGATATAGGCATATTTTTATCCCCTAAAAACTTTTCATCTGTCCGGATTTCCTAGCTGAAAGTTTAGTGATCCGAAAATTATAGGGATCAAAACTTACCTTCTCGAAAATTTCAGCCAGGAAAAGGCTCCCGAAAATTCTAGGTGGCCCTTTTTAGGGTAAATATCCGTTTAAAATGGGTAATTATACCATTTTGTAGATGTTCGAAAATCCTAGGAGAGGCAGGCAAGTAAGAAATTTAACAACAAATGTTCCGAAAATTCTAGTTCTCAAATCGTCTTCCGAACAGATATTTTCCCGAAAATTGCCGTTGGGTGCCCCTGACTCTCAAGGTGGTGGGTTGAGACAGCCTTGACTGTAGTTATATTAACCTCTTCAAAACAATGAAAAGCTGCGTTCATTTCAAGAAACGGTTTCGCTCAATGCTAAACCAGTCAGGGTGCGCCAAAGCCTATGTCCGATTGTCTGGGACAGGTAGAAATACAGTTCGGACAAGTAAACCTTTGACATAACTTGTCCGTGGGACAAGCACATTTTTAATTAGAAAAAATACAGAAACAGATGAAAGTTGACTTCAAATTACGGTAGAATTAAAATTTATGTTATGGTCATAAAAGCAAACCTCATGCTTCTCAAAATAAGGTTAAACATTCCTTTAAAACTTCACCATTCCACAGCCATTTCAATCATTTGTTTTTTTTTACGAGCTCCATTTGGGTTAGGAACCTGGCCTTAGTAACCAGGCCTGTTAACTTACCTGCAAAAAGGCTGATTATGTGATAATAAGCAGTAAAATATATGCCCGATTGTTTTTGAGTTTTGAGCAAAACTTTTTGGACAAGAACCCTTGGGTTTCGGACAACCAAATTTAATATAGTGCTTGTCCGAAGGACAAGTGGATAAGGAAATTTTTGGCGCATCCTGCCAGTATGATCAACTGCAAGGAGTTTCGTGAGCTAGCTTTTCTAACTTTAGGGATTTACTTTAACCTGCCCCCAGGTTAGCCTGCGAACAGCAGACGCATTTCCGGTCGTCGCTTCTCTCCCTCCGAAGAAGCGATGACCGGAAATGCGTCTGCTGTTCGCAGGCTAACCTGGAGGCAGGTTAAAGTAAATCCCTAAAGGTAGAAAAGCTAGCTCACGAAACTCCTTGGAGTTGATCATACTGGCAGGGTGCGCTATAAATCCCCAGTTATACAAAACCCCCAAAACAGATTTCACATATTTTTTTTAAGCTTAGTACCTCCACCCCCTTAAAAGCCGGTCCGGACAAGTCATTTTAACGGTTTAACCGTTTTTGGTCAAAACTGTGATCAAAACATGGGCAAGGGTGACTGAAGAGTCGGCTTTTCCCGCGCAAAAAGAATTGGCAGCCAAAATCAATACGACCGGAAGGCTATCAAGTGAGTTCTTGATGTCATAAACCATAATCAGCTTAAAAATAGAATAAATGTACATTCAAGAGAGATTTCAAGTAATCGAAAAACACCCATCGGAAAGCAGATAGCACGAATAAGAGTTCGATGTAGGTGGCTTGAATAAATAAATTGGGTTATGCCTAGTGAGGTAGGTCAGGAGCCGGCAGGTTCAATGATCGCTCTTATAAGTGTAGTCGTGATAGCCTGCGAGCACGCTCTCCTATTTGGGCAAGCGAAGCGAGCCTCGCGAGAACGCGCGAGGGAGGGGCCGATCGAGGATAGGCTCACTCGCACGTTCTCGCGAGACTCGTTTCACTCGCCCAAACAGTACTGGTAGTGTCGGCCTCGGGGGTACTCGGGCAGGTACCAAGGTTATGCGGCCGGGAGGCTCCGCCCCGATTCCAACCGCTTATCCTTTTATGTACCTTGTTTGACAAAA